TTAGAATAAATCATCAGCGAAGCGCATCACTGATTCAATCTGCCCGGCTGTCATAAGCTTCACAGTCAGTCTATCGAGCACTACAGAAATGATATGTACGTTCCCGAGGCCTTATTGTATGAGACAGATGAAGTCAGTTGAGCAATGAAAGACGGGTACTGAGCTGTGTTAAATTTTCACTGGTGAAGTTGAGGACCAAGCCACAAGGCTTTTACCAGAGCTAGCCGAGAGTGGTATTTCTGCCTTAAGGAAAATCTAAAGGTCTAACAGGTTCCTTTTCAAGCAAGGATGAAAACTGAAACACCCATTTTCCATGAAACGAAGTATTACATAGCCTAGAGAAAAGGAGGCTGAGGGGGGAGACCTTATCGCTCTCTACAACTACCTGAAGGGAGGTTGTAGTGAGGTGGGGGTTGGTTTCTTCTCCCAAGTAACGAGTGATAGGACGAGAGGAAATGGCCTCGAGTTGTGCCAGGGAAGGCTTAGAATGGAGAATAGGAAAAATTTCTTCACCGAAAGGGTTGTCAAGGGCTGGAACAGGCTGCCCAGGGAAGCGGTAGAGTCACCATCCCTGGAAGCATGTAAAAGATGTGTAGATGTGGTGCTTAAGGACATGGTTTAGTGGTGGACTTGGCAGTGCTAGGTTAACAGTTGGACTTCATGTTCTTAAAGGTCTTTTCCAATATAAATGATTCTATGATTCTAGAGAAGGGATGTGGGGAGAGGGGGGAAAGCTGTTCTTTGCTCTCAAGCGCTTACAGGCCATTGCAAAAAGAAAGTTTCCTCTTCTTGTCTATGCAGAATAAAACAAGTTTTTAGGAGCTTAATTTTAATTAGGCTAAGACCTCAGGAGCCTCTCTTAATGTAAGAATAGGAAAGAATAATTGGAAAGCTCGTGGAGCCTCTCTAACTGGAGGGCTGTAAGAACAGGTTAAGCAAATGCCAGTCAGGAATGGCTGAAGTACAAGTGATTCTTGAAACAGGAGCAGAGGGCCCTCAAGAGAGGATTTAGCACAGCCTTTTATTTAGGCCTCACTGAAACATTTTATTCTTGATTACATTTCATTTTAAAGCTCAGAAGTGTCTGAGAGGGATGGAAGTTGCTGCTTTATGTATATGTAAATACTGTAACATCCACCATATTACCATTAACTTACCAGATTTACCATACAGATTGTGGTAATTTGTTTAGATATACACGATTACAGAAAAAGACATTCACTAATTGCCTGTGAAAATTCTAATTATGTTCTGAGGAAATGTTCCGATGCTGATCTTTCAGGGTGACAGATCTTTGTTAATATGAAACACCAGCAAATTTCAATTTAATTTTGCATGGTAAGGCTAGGCCTAGCTTCACGAAAGTGAGTACAGTTATTAGGAACCCAGCTTGAAACACTTCTGTTTGAAGAATGAAGTCAGTAAGTACTGTGCCACCCATAGGCTGTAACTGAAAGTTTAGACACCTTAGACCTACAGGACTGAATCCATTCATTCACTCTGTCATATTAGCAGTGGAAATACAAATCTACAATGCAGCTGGAAATGTGACTTCCTAAGGGAATGAGATGATGCCATAGGTTTTACAAGCTCTGTTTCAAGGACTACATTTGCTTTTTACCTTCAGTTTTTGAATAGGATGTGTCTGAAAGAGCAGCATCTAAGATGCATGTTTGAATCCCCTGTGCTAAGACAGTTTTCTAAGGGTGACGTTGTTCCTTTCACTGAGAAATACATTTGTTAGACTTATTTTTTTTCAGTTAATATACCTTAGTGTTGCTAATACCTTCCTCTTGGAACCTGTTACCTTTTTGATGGATGGGAGCTTTAGTGTTAAACTCAAGCTCCATTTTAAGAGGAAGGAGTGAAACTGCATTGCTTTGGTAGGGAGTGGAGAAAGAAGAAACCCTTTGCTCTCTCGACTGAGGGAGGGCTTTGGAGCTGCTGAGCGACACTGCAGCACAGCATTGCCTCTCCACAGGGCAAATAAGATCCTGCAAGGCATCTTGGCAAAGAAGCTGGCTTAAAGCCAAATCTTGGTCAAAGGAACCTGTGTTCTGGTATTTTTAAGTTATTTATGTCTCAGTCAAGAGGAGGACAAGTAAGCGTTTTCTGTTGTGATGGCTGGTCACAAAACTTGGCTAGAGGATAAGAAATGCTACTTTTCGTCATGCTAGAAGGCTTCTGCTCTACCCAAACCAGTAGCCTTGCATCTGGTTTGCCGAAACAAAGTCCCACGTTGAGGCAGAGGAGCTTCCAAGCCTCCTTTATAACTTAAGTTATAAATCTCTCTTCAGTTCACTTTTTTTTTCCTACAGCAGGGAGCTGGTGGTGAAGTATATAGCATAAGAGCTCCTGCACAGTAAGACACAGTGTAGTAGAGTTTGCTATTGGTAGATGGTATTGGGGAAAGGAGGGGTCTGTGTTCAGTGCAGGCCTTGCAATGTGGAAGCTCTAAATTCCTTCCCCAGGTCAGAAACATACTGTTGGTGACATGTTGTCTTTTGCCTTTTGGGAATTGCTTTTTCATAAGTAAAACTAGATTTCTTGCTGGGAAACCCTTGACTTTGTGTGCAACGGATTGAACTAAGCTGCATCTTGTCACTAAGTTACTTTATATGGGATTTCTTAATACGTTATCTGGTGCACAACTGATGCTGGCTAGCCTGTTCCTACTCTGTGCTGGTCTAAATTGCCACCTAGGAGAAGCAGGGGTGCACCAAAGCACTCTGTTCCCCAGGGACTAGGGCGCTTGGGAAACAACATACCTTTTTCTCCATTCTAATTGACTGCAAGGGTAGGTCCGTACTGCAGTGTCAAAGATAAATGGCTGGCTCAAAGCCAGACGCTTTATTTTGCAGGGAGTTGTTTGGTACTGATGGCAGTTCAGCTGGGTTCCTGGGTGTAAGAGAAGAAAACCCAACCTCCCAGTACCTCAAACAGCAGTTTAGCTGCACGAGGCAGCTCAACTAAGTACCAGGTGAAAGTGAGCCAGAAGACATTAACTGCTGCTGTTTGGATGCACCCATGCAAGCATCACATATGCTATAGCTCAGCAGCTAAGTCTGGCCATCGAGTTAAGACAGACTCACGCATGGCACAGCAAGATCCCTGACAAGATCTGTCAAACCGAAATATTCCAGCTAAATTTGGTGAGATACATGGGGGTTTTTTAAATGACACAACTCATAAGGCAAATACTTTTGAGGATCTCTCATTTAGTGATGTGCTTGGACTTCATCTTCAGGGTAATGCTGGCTGTTGACCTGAGACACCATACTATAGCCAGCTTTAGCAATATCCCATGGCACAGAACAAACCAGTTGTACCTTGTCACTGCTGAAGTTGTTTAAAGAAGTTGAGAAAATAGACAGATTGAGCTGACACAGTAAGAACCAGGTGTATCAAAACACAATTTATTCTTAAAATGGCTGGTTTACACATAACAGCAAGGGTTATGTAGGGAGAAAGTGACATTAGTGGAGGAGTCTTACTTCACATTAGTATTTATCGTCTTGCTGCACTGCAAGTAGCTTCAGACTCAGGATATTATACTTCTTAGCAATGGGCAAAAATGTGATTTATATTTTGATCTTAACACCACTTCTGTACAGCTAAAAGGTGTGCCAGTATTCACACCTGCTGACTATGTATTGGACAAATTCTCACACAAGTCTTGCATGAAACACAGATCACCTTTACAGTTTGACAGCTCAGAATGCTAAATTATAAGCATACAGATACAAAATATACATTAGGTTACTGAAGTCTAAAAAAAACTTCAAAAAATGAGGTACAATAAAACAGAGCAGTCTTCTATTTATGTGCAACCCTAGATTCAGCTTAGAAAAAACTAGTAGCAACTCTGCTCTTTTAAAGAAATTAGCTTTCACAAAGTGCAGCTAATTCACTGTCTTCAATATGAAGGACCTTGCCTATGTTACACACTTGTGAAAAGTCATTGCTAACTTTGCAATAGGGAACAGGATACTTGACCATCAGATGCTGTAAGATTAGATCAGGTGATGAGTCAAATAATCTAATGCTGCAACAGACTAGGAAGTTTACAAATCACTTTGTTTTGTCACCTAACCCTATTTTTGGCATGTAGGGTAGTTTTAAAATATTTTTAAAGGCACGTTTTTCTTTTAACTTTAGAAGATAACCATTTGTCTGCTAAGTGAGTAGGATGATGAAGTCAAGGTTACATTTGTTCTCAAATGCAAGACATCTATTATTCATAAAGCCAACAAGGACAGAGATGTCTTCCCAAAGCAGCGGTCACTTCCACCACTCGCTTTGCATTGTTTTCTTTATTCTCCTTTTTATCCCATGGAACTCTGTGGGATTTGAAGACCAGCTTTGGAAAGAAGAAATTAGAACATTGTACGTTTCCAAATCATACAGCATATCCTACCTCTTTCCCACTTTTCCATTATCCTCTCCAAGTTTCTTAACCTGTGTTGAAGCCACAAATCCTAGCCATGCAATCCTCCCTGCCTCTGCTACAAGCACGGAGAGGGTCATAGCAAGCCTCCGTCCTGACAGCATCACCTCATCTCTACTGTGCTCCTAATAGGTGCAAAACGAATTGCAACGTTCTGTTCCTGCAACCTCCCTATGCACACACACATATACTCTCACACATGCAGTTACTACAGCTTGCTGAGATATCATCACCTTCCAAACTCTCACAAGAGTCTCTCTCCTAGTGACTCAGGAAAGTCGACAGCAGAAAGCAAGCAGTGTATACTTAAGATATGGACATGCTATTTCTATAGTAGGTGGCATATGTATGGGTTTTATCTTTATTTTCTTTCCTTCCAAGGATAAGATTTGGCTAAGAACTTCAGTAGCATAACAAGTCCCACAGACTAGTGGATTTGGATTCGTTCAGTCAGCCAACAAAACCTGCCAGTGGTTTTGTCATGTAGTATGCAAACCAGAAAACTAACACTGTTCTGTTGACAAATGGAAGAATGCTTCCTTGCTAGCATTGATCACCAATATGGTGATGAATTTTCAATCTGACCCAAGCTCTGCCACTGGGGAAAGAGACCACTGGACAGCCTCGGGCTGCCTAGTTGATCAGGCTCTCTCTCTTGTCCTCTTCTTGGAGTCTCAAGATCTACACAGTCTTTCTTGGCAGATGGTATCTGAACACCATCAGGCTTCCACTCTGCATGGAGAATCTTGTAATTCTGACCCTCGTTATTGTCCCAGAAGGTATGTTCTCCACTTTGGTAAGAAATGCAAAACTCTATCTTTTCTTCAGAAGAAATGGCAGGAGGCATGTCAATGGTAAATGAGAAGGTATCATTTTCAGAATCACCGTAAACATCGTTCATGTATACACACTCAATGTCCGTGTAGGTCTTCCATGTATCAAAGGTAACTCGAACCTGAACTTTTTTCTCAAAGCTCACGTTTTTTACTTTCACAGTGCCTGAGAGCACCTTCTCTTGCAGGGTACAGTTCTCCAGGCAGACCAAGTTCTTCTGCAGGCGGTTCCTGAAGCCCAGATAGTCAGCTGAGGGCCGAGGGAAACCCAGAATCAAGTTTTTCTCCTCGTGTAGCTTTAAGCCAGATGTTATGTTTTCAATGCCTAAGAGGTCAAACTGAAGATCCCACCCAGGGTGCTCCTGGAACTCAGAGAAGGTGTGTATTGCCGTCAGGGACAGCCCCTTTGAGTCTGCGAACACAACTCGTTTCTTGGCTCGGGCTGTCGAGTGGTTCCAGTCACTCTTCTGAGCCTCGGAGTCACGTTTCACATGAAGACACGGTCTGAGAGGTTTGAATCTGTTCACAAAGTTGTTTCTTTGGCAGTCCTCAAGGGGGCTGAGAAAACTCTTCAGTGGTGGAGAATGGGCTAAGCAAATTCTCATGGCCACATCCACAGGCATGATGGAGCTTGGCAAGGGTCTTGGGTCCAAGATCTGTATCATTCTGAAAGGAGCAAAAGGCAGGATGCTATTATTTGTTGCATCAGCTAAAAAGCTTCTTAACAATGCATATTTACTTCATCCACTGTCTTAATTATTTATGTATGGCTTTAAATAATGCAGCCTAAATTAAAATTGACAGTTCAAGCTAAGGAACTAGGGTGAGACTATTCAGTCATTTCTTGCTCATTCTTAACTCTTTCATTTCAGATGTAGTCTCATTTGCTTTTTCCAAACCTCTGAAAAATAGACTTTAGTGACAGCTAACTAAACACATGTCCTTGAAAATACAGAAAAGAACATTCTAGTAACCAGTAAAATATCCAGTTACAGTGGAAGTGCTCATCCACTTTAGCTTCCCTTTTGGAGACTGAGCCAGATCTTCAAATTCCAGCAAGTTGGTCAGCTGCTTCATCTCTGAGCACAGACAGCACTATATTAAGCAAGTCACCTACCCCACTGGAGCATCAAATGGGATGCTATGTACCTTGATGCAGAACCACCAAGTTGTGGCTCTGAACAACTGTAAGTGCATTTCTTAGGCACTCTGGTTTTGGTTAATTAAGATGAATAAAAATGCTAAAGCACCTTTGGAAATATTTTCTGTGAGCTAGAACCTGGGTCTAGGTAACAGAGCTCTTTTGCACTGTTAACTGCTGAGTGAACAGGGAAAAAAAATAAATGGGGGGATGGGGAGGGACACACTTTATTTTTTCAACACATCATGCTTCAAGAACTGGCTTAAAAATATCTTTTTACAATTGCCGAAGTCCATGCTGAAAGCCTACCACAAGTATTCAACAAGAATGCTACAGTTTTATGAATTAGTCTTCACTAATAACCCTCCCTCTCTGATGATGAAAATCACAATTACTGTGCAAGAACATGGCCCATTCAAAGTCAGTCAGCTTGAATATTTGTAAAAAGGGGCTTCAAACGGCAGCACATTCCTTCTGAAAAGATGCAGTCCTTGCTGGAAATGCAGATTTTTGTTGAGTCATGGGAAGCCAGAGCATTTGTGTTGTCACTTAAATAAATGGCTTTCTCCTTCCCAGGGTTCTCAGTGGTATTCCAGAGCCCTGCCAAAAAAAGCAGAATCTGCACTGGTCTCTTAATTCTTCTCCTTGCTTTTTTTTATTGTGACAGGACTTGCCATAGTAAGTAGGACAAGGAGAGTACCAGCACCAAATCAATCAAGTTCTGCTTTGCTTTAATAGGAAAAGAACTAAGGCTTCAAAAATACTCTCCCTGCAACTTTCACGACCAGCTCCTGGGGCAACTGCTTCCAAGCTTTTGCAGTATCAAAAAAA